CCCCAGAAGGTCATACCACTATTCCATGGACTGGTTCATTCACATCGACATACACTACCACAGGTACAGATGGTAAACCAACCGTTGTGGTTGAAACTCCAGAACCTGTGGCCCCCGAGACAGACGTCACCACCATCATCTTGCCATGCACCTGTAAGGAACCTTCCACTACCACAACAACTGGTGATGATGGGAAGAAGACCGTTGTCTGTAACATCCCACACTCATTAGTGTCCACTGTGGTGGTCACCGAGCCTTGCACCAATGCTGCTGGAGATGTTACCGTCACAACATATACAACTTTCACTGCTGCTGCCGCTGCAGTGACTGCTAGCCCTACTGAAACCGTTTCTCCAACTGGTGCTAAAGGTAGTGGTTCTGAAGCTGCTTCAGCAGGCAATGGCTCTGGTACTGCACCAAAAGAAATCTCCACTTACGAGGCTATGGGTTCAAAGAACACATATACATTCTTGGCTGTGTTATCCACCCTTTTGTGGATTTCATTTTGAATTCACCCAAAGGAACCTGAGTGTGGTTCAAAGAAACAAGACTGTTTTTAAATGTTTGGTTATTATAATTTCTCTTTGTCTAGTTTTTTCGTTTACCAATATTTGGTACTGTATCAATACACTTTCTCTTCTGTTCAAGTCCTCTCTTTCAGGAAGATTACTGATATAATTATTCAAGCCTTTGCCAGCGCAAACCCTATCATAATGCATCTGAGAAGGTACTAAGGAGCCGATTTTCATAACTCAATAGCTTTAGTAGACCCAGTCATCGATATAACAAAAGCAGGATGACAAACTTACATGGAATATATATACCCACTGCTACCTTCTCTGGTTGTAAACCAGGTCAATTTAATAGATATCATCCCTTTAGGGGAAGCATATGCACAGAATACAAGACAGCAGATTATTTGGCAGCGAGCGAAAACCTTAGTACGTGCTAAATCCAATTCTTGATCTATTTTATCCACACACGAGCAGAAAGAACACTAAGTCAATAAATCAATGTTTGGTGTGGAAGCTGGTAGTTGAGGTAAGTTATGTTAATCAGACCAAATATTTTAGCATTACATTACGGGTGGTTACTAGAATATATTATTGAACTATTGTCCCAGGTAAGCAAGCCGTTTTAACTTGCACCAAGTAGATTGACAACTCTATGCCATTTGCGAGACTCGAAAATACAAAAGGGTATGTCGAGATTTTCGCAAAAACTCTGGCTAGACTCAGGTTGTACAAAGTACACCTCAAACTGGTAAAAGTTTGGAAGTTGAAGAAGATCTGGATTGTTTATGTTCCATTTACGGAGCTAACGCGGTTGCAAAAGCGCAGTTGCAAAAGACAATAAAGCCGGAAGATTGAAAATATAGTCGTGTCGTTTGACGAAACTTTGTTTGTTATGGACACCATAGTCAAAGTTAGATCGGATAACGGGTTCAGCTATCTGATGCATACAAGTTGGCCGAGTCAAAGAACTAAACCTTGGAAGCTTTGGCATTGAGTTACGTTCAAAGTGTATCGGCCTTAAGGATTTTGAAGGAATTCCAAAGGTCACTAAGATTATCCCTATCCCATCCGAATCTACCGAGGAAATGGTTGACAAGAGCTTTGGCAGTCCCGTCCAAATACCAAGAGAAGATTTTGAAGCTCTTCATAAGACCCTCAAGGAACGCCCTATTTCCAGCAATCTACTTCAAGTATCCGGTTTCAACAGATCTAAATTATATTGTAAATTTGTTTCATTAGCGTTAAAACATATCCAAACATTGTATAAAAGGACTGGGATCTTGTTTGAGCTACAACTCATGTGTCCTACATACCTCTGACAAATTTGCGGTACTTGAACATCCAAAACTTTCCAAAGTTGCGTCTTCTTCCTCGTTAAACACAGTTCTGACCCATGCATCACCAAAGTTGAAGAGGTGAGTAGTCTTTGTAGCGCTTTACCGTACCATAAGCAGCCAAAGAAAAGTGATCAGCTGGTAGAATTACCATATATGTCTTTTTTCATTTACAACATACGATGTTTTAATAGAGCCAATTGAGATAGGATGAAGTTCTAAAATTGTCACTCACTTCTGTGATATTCTTTTACGATGACAATTGAAGTTTCACGGTGACCCGGAGGTGTATTGTAGAACCCTCTTATTTCAAAGCAAGTAACACCTGTCACATGACATGAATGGTACAACTTGCTGTTGGAACTAGGCTAACATCGCTGGCAATGGCAGCTATGACCGTTCAAGCCTGTTTGAATTCACCGAATGCCCTCAATACTGTTGCGGCTTTGTACAGCATCAAAAATAAACAAACGCCCGTCAAAATGCCACTTTTGCCTTTCCTGGATACCCAAAACAACTTTCCAGAACTATTCTTTATAGCCACTGAAGAGGCTTTTGCACATATTCCGGACATAATGCAGCTCTTAAGAACTCTATAATCTTTTATCACCAATCATCAATAAACCACAGTCGAGGGTATTTTAAAAAATGTTCCGTTACCCGGCGCGCGTTAGCGTCAGAATTACACGATAATTGCCCTTGAGACCGAAACGTCCATCGTGTATCACAAACTTAGACCAATGGAAATAAATATCTCATAAAAGTGTTTATTACGTGAGCTCTATATTAGAATGCTACTTCAAGCACCAGAAAAAGTCACTCAAAGACTCCAAAGAACATTGAGGTGCTCAAAAGAACAAGGCAATCGTCGATTTGTTGTTCGTGAAAGACAAGCTACTTCCTGAAGTAGTTTTTTGCTTCTGGTCAACTGACGGTTCGTTAAACATGAAGGTGATCTCCTTACCATCGTCGAAGTCATAGTTCTGTATGGTCAGGTTGGTCAGGTTGGATAGGGCTGTTAACGAAATTACGGTTCGGCAATAAGAGATTCAAAATTTGCAAAATCGAATTCATCCACAAACTTTCTGAATAGCACATGATAATCGCTCAATAAAAGATAGTAAATAACTTTGTTGAAGATTACTTTACTTGTATCTTTTGTCTGAATTCCCACGACCGGGTCACATACTATATATCCTGGTGTATCCTTACCATAAGTTCACCTGGATGTACTTGCACAACTACCGTAGTGCCTGGTTTCAATTTTGAAACAAAAACTGAATGTATCGGAACCTGTTATGTAATTAAATTGCAGGATTCCCTCTTGCAATATGGCAACTGATATACTTTTCTGTTTGCTTTGCGCAAGGTGCTAGCGGGCTGGCTGGCTAGAATTTTTCAAATGTTTCCTTTTACTTAAGACGAGTACCACATAATATCTAACCTCTAGGCCTCACGCATGGCCATCTTCATTAGCTTTGGGTTTGACAACACGTATTCAAGCTCTTCTCCAAAGGAGTCTCCGAAGTTTGATAAGATTAACCAATTTCTGACACTTTCGCCGAGGGTTCAATCGTGCTAACTAGTGAAAAATAGGGGTAGAGGCGGTGGGTCTTCTTATTTCAGCCATTTTGTCAAAGAAGGCGGGTAACAAGTGACATAACCATAAAGTATTTCGAGCTTAGTAATATAGGTATTTGTGCAGATACAATAAACGATGTCAATTGAATAACTTGGTGATATTATCTCTTTGAGCACGTAGAATCAGCTAAGTAGATTTACAAAGAGGTTAACAGCTGTGTGCATAGCCCTCTTTATAGAGTTTTCCTATAGAGGTAGAGAATCATCAAAAAAATAGTTTAATGATGAAAACTACTGGACCTTGTACATTTGTGAAATTGTTTTGGCCAACAATAGGCTGCGAGTCATTTTATTTCAGCATCTCATTTCAGCATCTCAGTTATTAGGTCAGGACGATCAACAATGTCTATTGTTCAATTTCGTAAATAATCCACTCAGCTGGTTATCCGATAAGCCCGATGTGGCCCGATGTGGCCCGAAGGAAATTCCGTAGATATTTCTGGTTGTATTCTCATGCTCTGCAGCACTTTAAATATCACCCTTCACGGTTAATGTAAACCTAAAGTGAGAATAAGGCAAGTCCACCTTGTTTTTGGAAAATGTAATTCCCTTTTTGATTTAGTATACCTTCAAAGAAAAGAATGTTACCTCGTTGGGAAAGACGAGTGCTTCGGGTTAACGAGGATGAATCTTATTTCAAATCTCAGTTCCCCCTGCAGCGCCTCGCATAGAACCCATGGACGCCTCGTATACAAAAGGCGTGTAATTAAACTTCGAGCCCTTTCGGAATTGTCAGTAGGATATCTAAACTTTGAATTAAAGTTATGAGACGTTTACGAATTTACTAAATGTGAATACAGGAAGTGCACGTGATTGTGTTAAGCGCACTACACCCCTCCATACCACAAATAAATCAGATACAAAGGATGAACAATGGATAAATAGGTTGACAGGGTAATTGAAGTATCATCAACGCATCGTAGAAGGGCCACTGTCAACACTGCAGGCCTCTATTTTAATTTATAATAAGTATTCGCATATTTCACAGCCACAAAAGAGAGCAACATAAACAGGCTGTAAAATCTTTACCCCGCCGGTGGCTGGCACCTGATAAGGAGAAAAGAAATGGCTCGTTATAGTAAAAGTTGTCTTCCTCCGGTAAAAGACTCAACCTTTCGAGAGGTGCTACCTTTTTATCTCATTATTAAACTTTTATTTGTTATATATTCTATCAAGCAAATCTTCCTAACTAGGTGTATGAACCTTATGGGGAAGGCTCGTCATTTCACTTTTTGATTTGAGTTCTCTTTTGAGAATACTGTGATTCAGGGACTATGAAATGCACTACTAGAGGTAAATTGGGAACTTTCCAAGCTAAGTGACTCTTGGCCAGTATGTGGATATATATATTCAACAAATTACCCTTATAATGGCATTCAACTTCCTCCGATGAAACTCACAAGCTTATTGAGTGGTTTGGCTATCTTGCCATACATATTTGTCGCCGGCATTGAAGTAGGAGGATGCGATCCTGACGCAACTGCGATTCTGGGCTTGAAGGCTGAATTCTTCAGTGTCAGCTCATGGGAAGTGGATACTCCATTAACCCCATCCAAGTTAGAAACGTATCTTCAAACAATGGACCAATACTCAGTCGTTTGTACCGGTAATACGGGAAGTGATCCTAACTTTTACTATCCGGCGGCTACTATAGGTGGATCTACAACTTTATATGACTGTCCGATAAAAACAAACGCGATTGGAGTAAGACTTACCGGTTACATATATGCTTCTGAACCAGGGACTTACACCATTCTGTCATACTTTAACAATGTTGGCGTGTTGACAGTTGGTAATGGCAATGCTATGTCTTCTTGTTGTAGTAATGACAGTGTTGCTTATAATAAAGCAGACGACAATTGGCTTGCAAGCTCTAACTCAGGGGCAGCCACCGACACAGGAACTACATCTGAGCTGTATGATCTCAAGGCTGGCTACTACTATCCTATCAAGTTCGTTTTTTACAACGGCTATACTGGGGATGGAACTTTCGATATCTCTATGGTCTTACCTGATGGTACACACCTCACCTCCGACTTCCCTTTCTATGAGTTTAATTTAACCGATAACTCAGCTTGTCCAATTATCACAACTACTACCGGTATATGGACAGGTACATATACTGAGTATTTTACAGTAACAGGCTCAGATGGTGATGTTACTGTCACCGAGGAGGTACCAGAATCCAGAACGACCACTACTGAACCATGGACTGGAACTGGTACATTTGAGACAACAATCTATCCTTCTAATCCAAGCGACCCAGTCACTGTTATCAAAAAGACTCCGGAATCTACTACTACCACCACTGACCA